CCTATGCCTAAACTCTAATACTTTGGACTTCTGGTAGGTAAGACGCCTATGCCTAAACTCTAATACTTTGGACTTCTGGTAGGTAAGACGCCTATGCCTAAACTCTAATACTTTGGACTGCAACTTTTCCATTGAGAGCAGCGCGTGACGTCAGCTCGGATGGGTAGTGGTACCACCAATCTGCCGGTTTCTGTCGAGAAGTAACCGGTTAGAAATCCAATGCAATTGGTATTCCGATCTCTTGTTTTAGGGTGAGTGGTGGCATAGACTGCAAATTACCTATTGGATTAACAGATAGGCCGTAAACTCGTTTATCTAGTGTATAAAAAATAGTTTAAGGTGGCGTTTAGGATTATTATATGAACCAAAAGTGACCTGAATTGGCAGGGACCTGCACAGCTTAGCCTGAGGTCACCCGAGCACTCTAATATGTATCTAAGTATTGTCAATTATCAAAATTTGTCTCGCAAAGAAAAACTCGTTTAGAACTGTTACAAAACAGGCTTAGTGGCACAAATTAGATGTGGCTTGTGTCTAGAAAGATTGCATGTAGAATTTTTAAATCTATCGACGTAAGAGCTGTCTTTTCTACCTCTCCTGTTGGTCCCGGATCATATAATATCGATCTCAAGTAGGGATAACACTTTTTGCAGGGGACTGCGGAACTCATCTAAAGTCATTAAAAGCGCGGGGATCTAGAGGGAGGTTTGGCTCCCGGTAAAAAAAGACAATTCTATGTGCAATCTTGGCTCATTATTGTATTTGTTGATTGAAGTGCTGTATTTTCTTTAAAATTCGGTCCATAACTGATCTGTCGAACAAATAAAATCAAATATATAAATGTAACTTTACAATCCCGCTAAATATGCATTCCTTTTCGATCCAACGCACGCAGATTTCTCGAGATATCCGGTATCGATGCATCGAATAAACTTTACGATCGAACCGAATAAGTTCATTAAAGGTCAAATACCTAATTTTGAGTAAGCCCCGCTAACAGGAGGCCTCCAGAACACTCAGCAGCCCACGTGATGTCCAATTTTATCAACGCCTTAATACGAAATCGTATTTCACAAAGTGCTGTTAGTTCGTAATAAGCTATTCGATTTGTTTTGATTGTTTCTAATCAAATTTAAAAGTTTGATGAACGCTTTTATTTAGAATTTGTTTAAAACCAATTTTCGCTGATTGACAGTTTGGCGATTAGTTTTTTTTTTGTTTTAAGCCCATGAAGTTCTGCTGATTTTGTGATATAATTATAATAATGGAGATGCGTATTGCACTTTTCAATATGTGGTCCAAACTTCCTAAACGTAACAGCTGGTATTAAGAGAGAAACAACACAGAAAAGTGGAATCAAAGATTAGAGATTAATACGCTTGTGATACTGGTAGTGGTATTTAAGCTATCGCATATATGGATAGTGGGTGAGTTTACGACCCACTTAATAATTACTGGGATACGTATATTGGGTACCTCCAGACATGAAGTCGAAGTTTCGAAGTTGAAGAAGTAAATGCCTCTTCGCGACGAGAAGACTAAGTAGGCAATTTGGTTTTACCTATCCGTGCAAGATTACAGTACGCTTTACTCTTTATATATGAAATATAATAGCACGTAAAATTCTAATTTCAGTATTTAACTTTCATAATAAAAAATATGGTAAAAATTTAAGTAGTGTGAAAAAGTTTTTTTTTTCTACTTATGCTGATAGCCTTGAGAGGCTATTTCAGCTTCACCCTAACATGTAACCCTAACATGAGCTCACGGGGCTCAAACCGGAAGTGTTGCTAACACTGGGCCTAGCAAGAGCAGTGCTTTGCAGAATCTACCACCGGATCGAAAACGCGACCCACTGAGAAGATCCAGCGAGAAACTCAGTGGGTTGTGTATAGACACATTTGGTTTCGAACCCATAGGGGTTAATTCACTCGTCGAGCCCTACGTCGCAAGCGACAGGTTCGACGAGGACGGTGACCGGAAAAAGAATTAGATGTCTCAAATCTCATACGTTAATTATACAGTAGCGGTAGATAGCATCTAGGGGATTCTCTACTTATATCACAAGGTGGGTGGTGCATTTACGTCATAGATGTCTATGGGCTCCAGTAACCCATCTAAGCAATAAAAAAAAAAACCCCGGNTCGAGCCCTACGTCGCAAGCGACAGGTTCGACGAGGACGGTGACCGGAAAAAGAATTAGATGTCTCAAATCTCATACGTTAATTATACAGTAGCGGTAGATAGCATCTAGGGGATTCTCTACTTATATCACAAGGTGGGTGGTGCATTTACGTCATAGATGTCTATGGGCTCCAGTAACCCATCTAAGCAATAAAAAAAAAAACCCCGGATCTTCAATGGGTCATCGGTGCACCTTATGGGAGTCCTACCCGCAACTTCCGATACGTGGTCGCCTCTCGAAAAGTTTTTGGGAATCTGGATGCAGGCAATACAGGATCGATCGTTGTGGCGAGGCTTGGGGGATGCCTATCTACAGCAGCGGACATCTGTGGGCTTAAGGATAGGTTGGGTTAGATAGGATAACGTCTTTGGAGACGCCTTGGGAGGGGTTTAAATCCAGCAGTGGCTTTCCTTAGTTTGTCAGTGGTTCTATATATAACAGACGTCTAAAATGAACTCCAACAATTTATAAAAACAAAAAAAATACCGATTCTACATCTTTAATAAACAAAGTTTCTTTATTTTGTATAAGTTTTATCAAATACAAAATAAAATATATTCAAGCATCACGACAACTGCAGATACGTGACAAAACGTTACAGTCTCAAAGCATACGAGTTTTAGTCATTCAGCGGAAAATGTCAATATGAAACAACTTTCAAAAACTAACTCTATTCCAACTTGCTTGAGTACGATATCGAATGTTTAAGAAGCGGAACATTTATTAAACCGATGAAGTGTACAATAGAAATTCGTTCTTATTCCTTTGTCATAAGGTTATTCGCTTGGAAATCGATAAGGGGGCCCTTGAACTGACCCTTTGCGATATGAAACACTGTAGTGTGCAGATTTATTTGTATTTTCCAACTGTATAGTTACTTTTTTAATGTTCAGCGCTGGCGATAAATATATCGCTTGTAAAATCAATTCTTTATATGAGTTACCTAAAATATTACAGTATTGTTTTAACATAAAAATTGAGTTCTTTAGTAAAATTCAGATTTTTTAAAACTTGAAACATAATGCTTTCTATATGAAATATGCCTACCACCATTTTACCTATTATTGCTGAAAAGCATTTGTAGATTGTGCACCTGAGAACCGGTCTGAAGTATTGTGGTAGTGGTGGTGGTGGTGGTGAGGCGTTTTGTGAGCCCGCACGGGTACGTACCACTACTCCGCCTGCTCCTGCCAGAAAGCACTAATGGTTTGAAGGGTATGGCAGCCGTTGTACTATAGAACTTAGTCTTAGATCTCGCGATTTAAGGTGGGTACGGCTTTTGCGTTGTTAACGTCAATGAACTCTGGTAAACACTTAACGTAAAATTATAGTTTGGATTAGAATTCGATGTCATATCTCTAGACCGACAAATACAAAGTGCAGTGGGAGCACTAGCTTGACCATTTAGATCAGGGGCTCCCAAACATATTTTGCCTACTGTCCACTTTGAAAATAAATTATTTTTTAGCTCCCCCATTTTTTCAAATACTCAAAAATCACTATAGCGAGATCTCAGTCGGTGTTTAAGTGGCCTGCAGTACCCTTAGGCCCCCTTTGGGCCTACAGCGCCCACAAGGGGGCGTTATCGCCAATTTGGGAAAGGCTGATCTAGATCAATGTAACAGGCTGGGTAAAGGCAAAGAGCTAGGCAGAATGGACCAACAACATGACAGCTCCTTCCATGAAGTTCCTGCCAATTGTTATTATGATAGAAGTACGGGTGTCGTAGAAGAAGTTTGGTACGATTATACCAATACTCAGTTTAGAGCTTAGATAATTCGTAAATTAATAAAACAATAGAATTAATGAATCCATAAAACGAAACAATAAGTAGGTAGTAAATACGTGTAAAATTTCAATTAGAACCGGAACAAAAGTGATGAGTCGCCGCTAATTTTCAGTCCAGTAAAGCACTACGTGTGACTCAAGCTCTGTTTTCATTTTATCAAACAATACATTCAAAACATTAAACGTCACGTTGATTGCGGGAAGCGATAATAATCGGTCGATTCGGCATTACGTGATCGTTGAAATAAGTTAATTTCGCTACTCGACGAACGAGAACTCTAGAAGCTGGCCTTCCAAGGTCGGTCGGCATAGAATATTTCGTTTAGAAGGAATGAACTTAAGTTCTTAATGCGGCTAACAATAATATATATCTATATATACAAAAATGAATTGCTGTTCGTTAGTCTCGCTAAAACTCGAGAACAGCTGGACCGATTTGGCTAATTTTGGTCTTGTATTATTTGTGGAAGTCTAGAGAAAGTTTTAAGGTAGATAGCTATGAAAATGCTCGAAATTAAATAAAAATAACAATTTTGTTTTCCCTTTGATGTGACCCCCGTCGGACAGATTTCTTTTGTTTGTTTTAAGTTTATTTTATACAAAAGTTTCGGTCTTTTATTTATCGATTGAGGCACTACAAACTGCCGGGTCAGCTTGTATCTAATAAGAATAGCCTTTGCAACGATCTCCAAAGATTTCCAGTAAGTTTTTGCAACGTATGCTTAAAACGCCTTTCCGTGATGCTGTCTTGCTGTTGAAAGATATGTTTTCCTATATCTTCTACAGTGGTGGGCTATATCCGTTCGACAGTATATTTAATAGATTTGTTCCAGATATTGAAGACAATAATGCAAAAAATAATCTTAAAGAATTTAAGGATCATTCGAGTTATGAGGTTGTCTTCCAAGAGACAGTCAGTTGACTTTAACTCATCTATATCCAACTATTCTATAACCGTAAAGGCAGCGATGCGCTTACGCACCCCCCAGCCCCTCACCTCTTGTATAAAACCTTCCACACCTGCGCTGGCCTCAGTTCTAATTGCATACTCGAGTTTGAAACACGTATATCCAAGAAAATGTTCTCACCGCGTCTCTTTGCGGTTTTCATCGCTTTCGCCGGTTTCGCAACGGTAACGGCTTTGCCTGCCCGGGACAAAGAAGTTATCGCGCAGCCCGTCACTATTACAGATGACCAGTTCACGTTCCCATGGCTGAACCTTTCGCCATTCAGTCTGTTTGCTCCTCTGTGGAAACTGATCCCCACTTTTGTGGACATCGGGCCAAGAATCTACGCTGACGATGACAAGTTCAAGGTCGTTGTCAACGTTAAGGACTACAAGAAAGACAACCTTAAAGTTAAAGTAAAGGGAGACTTTATCTTCGTCCAAGGATCGCAAGAAGCTAAAGAAGACGACCATGACGTGTTCGCCAGCCAGTTCTTCCACACCTACAGCCTACCTGTGAACTCGAGTGCTGCTGATGTTACGGCTGAGCTGACTTCCGATGGATACCTCGTCGTGACGGCGCCGATCAGCGAAAATGTTGATAAAACGAAAAATACAGAGCGCGTTGTACCTATTGTCGAGACTGGCGCTCCGTACAAGAAGGACGAGCCTGTAGAAAAGACGACAGTAGAAACCTTGGACGTTTCTACGACTCAGGAGCCGAAGACATCAGCTCCAGCGGTAGTGACTGCAGCACCGGAACCCGAGGAGAAGAAAGAACCGACCACGCCCTCCGAACTCGATGAAGCGACAGAAAAAGACAACGTGATCCCACACGGAAACGAAGTTTCTGCTTAAGTGATAATTTAGTATACGCATTTAATGATATCAGTATTTAATAAAATATTTTTTTGTATGTAAATTCAGTGTTTTGTTTTAGCTTACCGGTATGCGTTTAGTATTATTTTTTTCTTAATGGAGAGCGCGTGGCTTGAATACAAATGCAGGAACACTGCGACTCTGTAAACAATGGAGTTATTCCCTGCCCCGTTTTGGTTGTAATATGAAGACAATGCTTTCTGCTTCATAACGACCATTGTCATTAGTTTTATGCTACATTGTTACGAAATTAAATTAATTTAGCAAAATACTGCTACTTGTTAGATTTAATATAGGAACAGAACATTCTAGCGCGCCGTGCAGTCTGTTTGACTTCCGAATGTTCAAGATTCACTATATTATTTCTCTGGTCTGATGATTCATATATGATTCACATTTTGTTAGCATAGCCGATTGGGAGTTTTGTTTGAATTTACAAACACAACAATGAGCTACAGTTCACTGCGCATTCGTGCAGTTTCTAGAAACTTTTTAATCGACTAATTATTTACCATTATTCCAATTGTTGGGTGACATTAATCGTGTGGCTTATTGGCAATTTACATTTGCGCTGAATTGAAAAAAACTCTGTTGGTAGAAATGATTAAACAAACAAATTTTATTCTTAAAATTAATTTTAGTCGAGTACTTTATAAAGCGAGCGGGTACAATTTTTTTTTATTTCCCCTTTTGTTTTTTGATAAGTTTGTGTTCCAGCAACTTCTCACACATTCTAGAAGTGTATTCTAGAATTCTCTATTTTAGAATAAACAAACTTAATATTAAATGTTTTCTGAAACCACATTTTGCTTGGAACAAATTTTATTATGACTAAGACTAAGTTATGAGTGTGTCATGAAGCTAGAAGTAGCTAGTAGTCATTCTTAGGTGCATAGTAGATGAATTGTTCTTTGATCAAAATTATATACTTAAGCTGTGGCCTGCCCACTGACAATTCGGCTTTGGTATTTGTTGAGGTCCATTGACCAATTGATTAATGTACCTCCTTATGTGGTCCCGCAGGGGCGAATTAGAACGCTTCAATACTATTCAATCATAGAGCGGATAACAAAGCTATAAAATTCCAAATTTTAAGAGAATATCATATGTTTGAAGACAACTTGATCTAATTTTTATTATCCTAAGAATCCAGTTAGCTTACATCATTGACATTTACGTGTTAAGGTATCACTTAATTATGATAATTAGATTTGCACAGAATCGGTTTTTTTGTTTGTCGTGTCAAACTTGTTATGTAATACAAAACATTGGAATTACGCTTGAGTTTGAGTAGCCTGGCGCTTGGTTCTTGAAACTATGACTCGGGTGGATTTTATGGGATGTACGGATTACTGATGGCCCACAGGCGTTTCCATTGTTACCAGGACTGGTGGGCAAGCTCGAGGGCTCGGCTGGGAGGTATCTGTACTTTAAGTTGATAATGAAGTTGGATAAACGATGGAATTTTTAGTGACAGAACGTATTCTGACTGGGAGTTGGAACTTACTGGGAGAAACTGATTGGGAGTTACCGCCATCTAGCCTTTGCAGTCTCTAGAGCGCTCGGTTCAATGAAAAAGGCTCGTAGATCTTAGCAACTTCTACGGTGAAGCTAGAATAGCCCCTTAAGGCTATCGGTGATGGTAGGTAGGAAGAACCTTAACAATGCAATCGAAAAGTGACTAGAAAAACGATATAGAAGTCGCAATTATGTTGGATTAGTTTTTACCCTAACACGTCTTTCTAAAGGCGTAGTCTCCTAACATCAATTGGAAGAGGCCTCTTGTTCTTTGGAGGCGCCGGAGTCCAACATAGGCCGGTATCGACCCCCGTTGACCGGGTATCCATAAAGTGTGATTCCCCATCGATACCAAAAAATAGGTTCCCACTCTTAAACTGGCATGTACAACCAGCTCTTGTAGTATTTTTTTTATTACCCTTGTAGGCAGACGAGCACACGGCCCAGCTGGTGGTGAGGGGTTACCGTCGCCCATGGACTTCAGCAATGCCAGGGGCAGAGCCAAGCCGCTGCCTACCGCTTAATCCTCTCCACAGGCTTCGTTTGAAGAAGGACATGTCATAGCGCTCAGGAAACACCGTGGAAGGGAGCTTATTCCATAGCCGGAAGGTACGTGGCAAAAAATACCTCTGGAAACGCACTGTGGAGTAGTAGTACTAGTAGTGTCAGTAAGAATATCCCTTTTCCAATAACAAAAAGGTACTTAATCAAAATTTTCCTTTAATTCAAATCTTAATGATTAATTAATGTAACCAGTCATCTGGTAAACGACGTTTTATTTATTTAATCATCTTCAAGGTCGTAAATATAAAAAATAAAAAAACTTGTTTTCCTCGACGTGATTAGATTACGGAGCACAAGGAATTTGAATTCTATGACTATATCAGGTTTTTATAAAACCAAGTGTGATTGATTTGACAATATTTTTGTTTGGAAGCTTATCAAAATTCACAGTGCGCAGGGGCATATGGTAAAATTATCCTTATAAGTCGGCGATGAATGTCAAGGTCGCGTAGGGCATGTGATGTGTGCTTCTGATATTTACAAGTTTCCTGTTGAGAAAAGCGCGCCTTGTAAAATTTAAAAAGTAAGTAAGAAATTTATTTCGCGCTTATAAAAAATGACCAAGAGTCTTTATGTACTCGATCCTGAGGACCGAATGGTAAACAGTCGACGTTGCCCAAGCACGTCATTACAGATCCTCCCGATCCATTAACGGTGCTTTTAAGTACATGTCACCGGTCACCGTCCTCGCCGAACCCGAAGGGCTCGACGAGTGAATTAACCCATAGACACTGCCCACTGAGTTTCTCGCCGGATCTTCTCAGTTGGTCATGTTTCCAATCCGGTGATAAGTTTTGCCAAAAACTGTTCTTGCTAGGGCGAGTGTTAGCAACACTCCCGGTTTGAGCCCTGTGAGCTCACCTACACGTCACGAAGAAGATGAAAGAGCCTCACAAGGCCATCAGCATAGGTAGGGAAAAAAAATCGCAGACATTTATAACGATTAGTTAAAACACAAAACAGTATAGTTACATTAAGTCAAACTCAAACAAAAAAAAAAAACAAACAAATGAAAAACAACAGTAACATGTAATGGTTGCTCTCACAGCTGTGAAGAAAATGGTGTCCGCTCTGTAATAGCTATTGGTTTCCAATGAGATGAACGAGTTTACGGTAACGGTATCGTTTCCAGACATAAAAGATAAGTTTTCTGAGTAACAAAACAGCAACTTACGACCTTTTTATAGTGTTGATTTATCCTACTCCTAGGCATAAACAATACACGCAATTTTTTTTTTTAAATAAAATAAAGAGAACAAAGTTAGGTTGAGAGGAAATTTATTTAAGGTAGAGTAGGGTACTGACTTTTGAATAGTATATCATTACTAAGCGAATGGAGAGACACGCGGCATTTTTTTTTTTTTATTGCCTTTGTAGGCAGACGAGCATACGGCCCACCTGATGGTAAGTGGTAACCATCGCTCATGGACGTCAGCAATGCCAGGGACAGAGCCAAGCCTCTGCCTGCTCTTCTTTTACAATCGTACCATCGACGTACCGATCATTTCTATTAAATTATACTGCAGCGTTCGTTCACAGTACATTGAGAGCACAGAAAGCCATCACTTACCATCAAGGGGCCTTGCGGTCTCGACTGGCATGAATGATAGTAAAAAGTAATATTTTTCTATCGTGAATTTTATGCTAGATATTTTATGCATATCTCATTCACTTGGGTGACTTTTTTTTCCTACCTAAGCTGATAACCTTGAGAAGCTATTTCAGCATAGCCTTGACCTGTAGGTGAGCTCACGGGGCTCAAACCAGAGTGTTACTAACACTGACCCTAGCAAGAACAGTGCTTCGCAGAATTTACCACCGGATCGGAAACACGACCCACTGAGAAGATCCGACGAGAAACTCAGTGGGCTGTGTCTGTGGGTTAATTCACTCGACGAGCCCTTCGTCGCAAGCAACGGGTTCGATGAGGACGGTGACCGGTGCTTGTGGTACTTATGTTATGTTATTTGGCAAACTTATGTAATGCCTAATTATGATAATCACAGTACATTGAGAGCACAGAAAGCCATCAGACCAGCATACGGCCCACCTGATGGTAAGTGGTCACCGTCGCTCATGGACGTCAGCAATGCCAGGGGCAGAGCCAAGCCGCTGCCTACCAGAGATAAGGTAAAAAAAAATATTGTGAATAATTAGTGTGAACATTAAGATTACTCATACAAAACCTTGGAATCTAACCTAATACAAGTGTTTGTTTCTTAGCCGCGGATATATTTATTATATCCGCGCGGAAGTCATAAAGTTTCAAGTTAAAAAAAAAAAACAATTAATAGGCCTGGTGATTTTATATTTGTTTGTTTGTGTTTTATACCTTTCTGCGCACGTCACTTGATTACAAGCGGCTATTATCCAAAAGAAAGAAGCAATGTCGAACGCAATTTGCTAAGTATCTATATATTAATACGAGAAGCAAAAACTTTGTATCCCTTTTTACGAAAATTGCGCGGACGAAGGAGTATGAAATTTTCCACACGTATAGAGAATATAGAGAAGAAGTGCACAATGCTAATATTTTTTTTAAATAATGCATAAAAGATACATTAAATCAATAAAGAAAACATTACACACACTACAAACCATGTATTTGACGCACACACGCATGCATACTATTTATTGTCAACCTTTTGTTCTTGACGTCTGTTGTCAAATTGAGAATAGATTAAATATTGTTCGTCTTTATTAATACTTTTTAATAGTGTAGTCTTGGCGAAATTTGTGATTATAGAAGTATAAAATACAATCATAATAGTGTACAAATTTACAATTCCAATCAATTATAGTCGAATTTCGACTACTGCGGGACCTCTAGTTATTACTTATTATATAGTGTGTTATAGTATTATTACGTACCAGCCGTACTCGACCGGTTCGCTGGGCATTTAAAATTAACATAATTATTGTCATCATTATTAGGGAGTCCAACACCCATATAAATATTAG